CTCCACACAGCTGTCATCTTCTGCCCTCCACACGTGTGGTGGCCCCTGTCCCATCGGGTATATACCATAGCCACACAGGACAGCAAAAAGTAAACGAAATTTTAAAAAATTACATACCAACGTTTCGATAACTATCCACACGCAATCCAACGTGGGGCTAGTTTCTAATCTGTAACTCTTCACAAGGGAGAAATACGTTAAGCAGTGGTGGGGCGCAGCGGGGGCCACTTACATCCTCATGCCCGTAGGTGCAGGCCAGGTGCAGCGGGGTGTTGCCGTTGTTGTCCTGCACCTCCGTGCTGGCCTTGTAGTGCAGCAGCAGCAGCTGAGAGGAGAGAAGACAGCAGCTGAGCTCCACGAGGAGCAGGGGGCGCCACAGCATCCCCAAGTGTGACCAGGGCTGGGGTCATGGTCAGATCTTAGACATTACATGGGCTGTATACTCTTGGCCCTAAATCCAAAATATTATTTTCTTTCTTTTTTTTAGGGGAGAAACACAGGGCTCCACCCATGCTAGGTAGATGCTTCAGCATAGAGATACACCCCCATCTCCCCAAACCTGAAAAGTGTTGAGCTTTTGACATAACCTAAGCAGAAAACTTCATACCAGGTCACATGTGACAGAGGCATGTAACATGTGCCAAAGCACAGGCACACAAGATACTTAGAATATTATACAAAATCACCTTTAGGCTATGTGCCCGATATTCCAAAATCTGAAATATCTGAGCATTAAGATGTGGGATCCCCAACCTATACCCCTGTTAAAATGATGCCATCGCAGGCTGGCAAGATGGCTAAGTAGATAAAGACACTTGTCACCAAGCCTGACAACCTGAGTTCAAGCCCTGGGATCCGCGTGGTAGAAGGAAGAGAGCAGATTCCAGCAAGTTTCCCTTTGACCTCCACATGTGCACGGTGGCTCACATGCACGCATACAGATGTAACACACACATAAAGTATGATATGCTCACTGCTTCCTGTCAAAACAACGTTTAAAGAAAAATGTCTAGGACCCTGCCCTTCCCTCCCTGAGGCGATCAGGAAGTTTCCCATCTCAGCCCATCTCCAGGGAGGTGCCTCGACCTCCGGGGTCCTTGTGTCTGGCAGCAGTAGAGCCAGCATTGGACTAGTGAGTGCATGGTACCGCCATGAAGTCCCTACACAGAGAGGAATCGGCTGCGCAATGCTCCACACAACCCTGCCGCTCACCGTCACACTTTGGAAGCCTTTCTGACATGCCAGATGGAGGGGAGTGGACCCATGATAGTCGGTGGCGTTCACTATGGCACCTTTGGAGACCAGGAAGTCAATGAGGGATGCCTGACCTGCAGAGCAGAAGGACCTCTCACTGGAGGAAGCAGAGTGGCTTCCAATGACGATACCACCTCACTCTCAATGGCCCTGGCAGGACACCCACCAGGGGACACAGTCCCAGCTGTACAGGAGCCAGAGGTGACATGGGTCAAGCACTGAAGACTTGAATCACTGTGGGATGCCCTACAAAGGGATCACACCCTGGTCTATCTACTTCAACAGCAAGAATGCCAATGGGCCAGGGGCGCGAGAGATGGCTCAGTGATTAAGTGCACTGGCTGCTCTTCCAGAGGACCCAGGTTCGATTCCCAACACCCACATGGTGACTGACGACATTTGTACTCCAGGCTCCTAGTTTTGAGATGGAGTCTCACTATATAGCCCAAACTGGCCTTGAATTCATAATCCTCCTGCCTCAGCTTCCTGAGTGCCTGAGATGACAGGTCTGTGCCATCACACTTGGCTTTAAAGACTGTCTTTAAAGACGGAGATATGTGAGCCCCAAGATACGACTCTGAGATGGTCTTAGCAGACATTCCAGCCTCTCCTCACTGACCAGTCTCCAAGCCTGGAGGGCCACACGAGTGCTCCTCCAGCCGGCAAGGTGGCACAGTGGCTAACAGGTTTGTGGGGATACTTATCAGTCAAAGGGACCCTTGCAGGCACCCCATCAGCTGGGCCTCCACTGGCCTTGGGGGTACTAATCATCCTTTTGTCTCAGTAATTCATAGGAGCCAGCCCAAGGCCACATACCACAGAGGGCAGCCACATGGAGAGGTGTTTGACCCCGGTCATCTCTGGAGAAAGGAGTGACAACCGATGGGTCATTCAACCTCCTGAAACAGAAAGAAGATGGGGAAAATACAACAGATAAAGGCACAGCAGAGCCCTCCCAACCAGGCTGCACGAGACGAGGTCAAACTGGACGCCGTCCAAGAGGAGAGCCTTCCCCACTGGTAAAGGATCAGGCTCAGGTGCCTCTCACTCTCCCAGGCGCTGAGGGTCAGAGGCCTGTGGCTCCAGCGTCCTTCCCCACTGACCCTTTAGGCCTCGACACGACAAAATCGCACATCAAGCATAACGGGAAACCAAAAATGGTATCAGAAGAAACTGGCTTTCGCCCCTCTCCCTCTTAAAAGCCCTTGTGAGGCTCAGGCAGGACCTGTGCTGAGGATGCAGAAGAGGCAGGCGTTTCCCTGCACTCAGGACACAGCCAACAACTGCGGGGCAATGGGAAGAGCTTTCTCTGCACCCTGTGAATTCTCACCCGGGCTCGCATCTTACCCAGAGACAAGCTTCTCACAGTCCTCGCAGGAGCAAAGCGGGTGGCACATCTTTTGCATGGTGTCTTTGTCCTGGTCATCTTGGCTCAGAAGTCTTTCCACCTCCTTCTGGTTACCAGACGCAATGTGCTAGATAAAGGGGCACCCCAACAGTATCAATGCTAAAGCATCGCTTGCTTGCCTCAACGGGTCTTGAGGTTTGCTTTTCGCTTGATTTAGCAGTACTTGTGACTGGACCCAGGATGTCACACACCCCAGGCAAGCACTCCATCGTGGAGCCACATCCTGGCCCTTCTTCTATATAGACAGGATCTCACTAAGTTGCTTATGCTGGCCTTGAACTCACTCTGTACACCAAGCTGGCCTAGAATTTGTAAGCCTCCTGAGTCACTGGGGTGACAAGTCTGGACCACCGAGTCTGGCTTATTTTGTTATTAAAAGAGGTCTCAATCTGTAGCCCAGGCTATCCTCAAACTCTTTTGTTTGTTTGGATTGGTTTTCAAGACAGGGTTTCTCTGTATAGCCCTGGCTGTCCTGGAACTTGCTCTGTAGACCAAGCTGGCCTCGAACTCACAGAGATTCACCAGCCTCTGCCTCCTGAGATAGGACTAAAGGTTTATCTGTGATTACACTTGAAAGACTCTAAATGCATTTGTAAGCTCCCTCAACCCTAAGACATTTTTCTAAAACCTTACACTCACTCTATCTTGGAAAAGGGACAGCCGCCCCCCCCCCCACACACACACATACTGGACTGCTCATCCCCCTGTGTCCTTGTGAATAATCTTCAAACGTAACTCCATTTTGGGAATTGAGGCCAATACAACCCACAGGTGTTGACTCAGTTCCTGATGTATTAATTTAGTCACTGGACCAAGGTCAGGATGGACCACAGATGCTCTCCCTTCTCACCTGACCACGCAGCTATTCTCCTACCCTGGAATAGACCAATCATTGCTAGTGACCCTTTGAATAAGCCAATCCAATAAGTTGGAAAACAACCTACAGTCCATCTTTTAAAGCAAAAAGCCACAGACACAAGGGGGTTTAAAAGATGGACGGTAACAGCTATCGATGTCCTTCCTATCACGAACCTGAAGGACCCTGTCATGACAGAATAAAAATCCTCTTGCTTTTGCATCAATTTGTGGTTATGTGAATGGTGTCTGGAGCAACTCCTCCCTGATGTTTGGGACTTCTAGTCCAACACACTGAAATGGCTTGTTCTCTGGGGCTGGCTTCAAGTCTGTCTGGGCAGACGACGGCAATGAAACCAGCCTGTGTGGCAGCTTCAGGATAGCTTTCACATTCCATTACATGGTTTCTGAAAATAACATAACAAAATTTCCAAAGTACCAAGAAGAGGCCCGCAGTCTATCTCAGTCCCTCAGTGTGGATTTTGACGCTTCATTAGCAAACTCCTCAGCTGTGCTGGCTGACGCGCGCCTTTAATCCCAGCACTCATGGGGCAGAGGCAGGAGAATCGTGAGTTTAAGTCCAGCATGGGCTGTACAGGTAGGCACTGTCTCAAAACACCTAGCCTGAGGGAGTGGCTGAGCTACGGAATACCCATCTAGACTCTACCAGTCAGGGGCTGGGCTGTGGTTCAGATGCAGACTGCTTGCTTAGCATGTGAGTGGTGTTAGGTTCAATTTCCAGCATCAATGAAGGAGTAGGAGTGAAAGGGACAGACAGACAGACAGACAGAGCCTCAGTGCAATCCCTATAGTAATCAAGCAGAGCCTTAGGCTTAAGAGAAACAAAACACCTGCAGTTAGCAGGAGACCCCCACCAGCACACAAACCCACAGGGTTTGGCTTCTGTAATTCACAGATGTGCCCCCTTTTATGGGCTCTCCCAGGAGCCTGAAAACATCCATAGACCCCCAGAGAAGGTCCAGTCTCATGCCCCCCATGGTGATGGTTAGAAACTGCCTCAGGAGCCTTCCAGGAGTCCGTGAGCACCTGAAGAGGGCTTCTGACACCCTGGATCAGAGCCCCAGGGCATCAGCTACTACACTCTCAGCTGAATGCCTCGGGTCCAGGAGAGGTCTCAGCTCTGCCGGGTACCAGGGAGAGATCCCACTGAGCTGGACTTGAGTGGTGGACAAAGGTTCTGAGGCCCAGCAGCCCCAGTGCACCATGCCGTGGGAACAGCACAGCGTACATTGGGGAATCAGGCCGTCTTCCTGCCACCCTCACAGACAGAACACAGAACCTCCCGGGACTTTCACAGACACCGAAAGATGGAACAACGTTCCTGTGTCTTCGCCCTCAAAGACATCCTGGGGTCTTACCTTAAACAGGCAGTCGATGGGTGTTGACGTCATCTGGGACAGTACGTTCATCCTCTGCTTGAGAAACAGTCTGTCACCTACTCCCTCGGAGTCCTGTGGTCATCACACATCACAGACCCCGTCACAGATCCTCCCCAGAAAGGGCCCAGGCACAAGCCCTGACATTCAACCCAGGAGTGGCCCTCAGGGGCTCTCCCCAACCCAGATCTCTGAGGTGAAGCGCAGATCCTCCTCAGTGCAGAGAGGGAACAAAGGGAGGTGAGCTCTGACGTTTGTAGCCTGGGGCAGCGAGGCGACAGGGTGAGGACAGTCAGCTACAGGAGTGGAATGTGCCATACACACGCCACTGGCTGGGCCTGGCCTCCGCCCCTCAGACTTCCCTCCCATTGCCCGAATGGCCTGATGCTGCCTCTCTGACCAGGGCTGTGGACAGTACCGCCAGACACACAGGTTTCTACTCCCTGGTGCCAAGCAGCAAGGGGAGTCTTGTTTTGTGACCGTGCCCATGAAAATGTCAGCCTAATTCACGGGGAGGAAATCTAGGCAGACACAGGAGAACTCGACAGATCTCTCAGCGCCAATCACTCATTGCATATCAAGGAGCCGCCAAAGTTAGTATAATCAGATCCTCCCAGCAAAGGTAACGCTTACCTGCTTATCTGGACAACAAATACCTAGAAATCTGGGACTGAGGAGACGCCTCAGGGGTTAAGAACGGTTGCTGCTCTTCCGGAGGACCCGAGTTCTGTTCCCAGCACCCACATCTGGTGGCCCACAACTGCCTGTAACTCTAGCTGCAGGGAATCTGACACCCTCTCTGGACTCCACAGGCACTTACATGCGTATGCACACACATAAACACATGCACACATACACATATACACACATACATATGAATAAGACTAAAACCTAAGAACGCCTAGAAATTTACACTTTACAGTTTATTATACTCGTTGGTTACTGTTACTCCTGACTGTAGGGCGGCTGAACCTCTGTGCATGTGGTAGTGGTAGTATCTGAGCCGAGATGGTCAATGCTGTGCTCTGTTTCACTGTGGGCTCGCTTTGTTTTGCACTGCCAGGGCCTTGTTCTAGCAAAAGCCCTGTCACAGAGAGATGACCACAACCTCTCAATGCAAAATTTGAAGCAAAGTGATCAACACTGAGTCACACCCCCTGTCTCTCACTCTGGGGTTCTAGGCAGGGGCTCTACCACTGAGCCACCCCCCAGTCCCTCACTGGGGGATTCTAGGCAGGGGCTCTACCACTGAGCCACATCCTAGCTCCTCACTGGGGAATTCTAGGCAGGGGTTCTACCACTGAGCCACATCCTAGCCCCTCACTGGGGAATTCTAGGCAGGGGCTTTACCACTAAGCCACATCCCCAGCCCCTCACTAGGGAAGACTAGGCAGATGCTCTACCACTGAGCCACACCCCATCCCCTCACTGGGGGATTCTAGGCAAATGCTCTACCACTGAGCCACGCCCCCAGTCTTGAGCCTGTTTTTACAAAATCACTCCTACCACAATGCTTCCATGCTCACTTGGGCCCCTGGAACCAAATGGCACAACGACAAATGAACTCCTCCACCAGGAGTCTTGGTTGGAGGTGAGGGAAATCCCCCTCCACAGGTGATACTGGAAACTGTCAGGACCCTGGCAACATGATAGAACAAAGTTCTTTCTTCACCTGTCTCTAAGATCCGACTAGGCTATAGATAAAGCCAACAGTGCCTCGGGGGAAGAATCATTTCCAAGGTCCCCTCCCAAGCGTCATCCCTCCTGTCTGTCTGCCCACCTCCAGTGCGGACTAACTAAAGTGACATACAAATCCTGCCAGCACCTCAGAAGGAACCGTTTCTGTCCCCAGCTGCCTCATCCTATATAAAGCTCCAGCAATCTGCTTTGTACGGTGACTGACAGCCGAGTAGCTTAGGGCCAGAGAGACATTAAAGGCACTGGACAACAGTCAGACAGGGCTCTCTGCTCAAGTCTAGGGTGCTTCCTGAGGGGCAGTGCTGAAAGGTGGCACCCCCAGAACTAAACCTAGAGGGAAGAACAAGCACTCAGAGAAGCTGTGCACCCCAGAGACTCACGGGAAATGAGCAGACACTGTTATTAGGAGCTCAGAGCCGGGCATGGTGGCATCCTGTCATCTAAGCAGGAGGACTGGGCACTGAAGGTCAGCCGAGAGATCTGCCCTCCAAAAACAAGGGTTCGGGACACAGCTCCAAAGAACCTAGTACGTCTAAGGACTTAAGTTCCATCCCTGGCATCACCTTTCCAAAAGCAAAACACCAACAAGAAAGCGAAGCTGACCAGGAGCGATTTAAAAAGAGGCAGGGAAATAAAATATTTCAAATATCTAGGGCTGGAGAGACAGCCCGGTGGTTAAGAGCACTTGCTGCCCTTCCAGGACCTGAGTTTGGCTCCCAGCACCCACATCAAGGGGCTCCGAACCACCTGTAACTCCAGTTCCAGGGGATCCAGCACCTTCTTCTGCCTCTTCAGAAACCTGCACACACTGAGCATACACAGACACAGACACACGTAAATAAAAACTTTAGAAATGAAGTAGGGAAGTGGTCCATTTATTCCAAGCTCTCTGCCTGGATCTTGATGACGTCACTGCAGTCCTTGTTTCTGGAAAGCTGGCATCTCCACCAGAGGACATCCTAAGGGTGCCTGTGGCCAGCTCGAGTTTCACGACCTCCAGGGAGAAAACTCTCGTGACGCGGAACTGACGGTGAAACCAGTTCAACCGATGGACATGCAGAAGCCTTGCCTGCCACGTGGAGATGCACACAGGCTCTCTCCCCAGGGACATGGCGTCGTGACATCACTGCTGGCTCCACACATTCCTACCCAGACTCCGTGACCTAAAACCCGGGCTGCAGTAAAAGCCGAGTCTGTACTTACAGACAGAGTCCCATGTGGAGCCACAAACACAAGGACACCCAGTACTGACTGGGTCGACAGGCCAAGCAAGGTAAAGTTGCAGCGTCTGTCAGGCCTGACTTGCTCCATACCTGGGGGACAGTGTGTGGTTTTTTTGTTTTGTTTTGTTTTGTTTTGGTACAGGTCTTACCATAAGTAGCCCAGGCTGAACTCAAACTCACTGTCCTTTCTGCTTATTTTCTTTATCTTTCCTTTTCCTATGTCTTCTGATACCGTGTCTCAGTGTCACCCATGGAGCTCACCACGTGATTAGGTCAGCCTCAAACTCACAGCCATCCTCCTGCCTCAGCTTCCTAAGTACTGGGATTACAGTCATGACCACCACACCTGCTCACTTTTCATTTTTTTATTTCAGCGTGAAGACTTTTTTGAGTCCTACTAAGTTTTAGCATTTATCCGTCACCACGTAGTAAAACAGGGCCAGCGGTGAAATCTTGGCTTCAGACTCTCGTAACTCACATAGGAACAGCATCACTCTCTCTCGCCGAAGCGCATCAACCAACCAAGGCCAGGAGCCCTCAGACTGCACACAACAATGATCATTTCTTGCCTATCACCCTCACGGCATCTGGTTTCCTTTCCCACACATGGCTCCTTTAGGTGACAGGGTTAATGAAGCGGGATATTGACGGTGTAAATCCCACTCTTCACACAGCAGCTTCCGCAGCCAATTAGGGGCTCAACAATCAGTTCCTTGAGTGGTTCTCAAGCCTCAGAACTGTTAGACAGCTGAAGCTTCAGTCTTGGCAGACCGTGACAGAACCCCCATCCCTCCCCTCAACCCCAACTCTCTGCAGCACTCTACCAAAGGTTCCCCCGATATCACCGAGAAAGGGTGGGTTGGCAGGGAGGACTTACAGGCGGCTTCGTAGAGAGACTTCCTTGCCGGATGTATTCAATGGCAGCCTCGACCGAGGTCAGGCAGTATCCCAGCTCATCTTTGGCCGAGCTGCTAAATCTGAAGTTTTTGATGTAACTCAAATTTGCCATCCTGACCAAAAGAAGAAAAAGCAGGTTATCGTTGTATAATTAACACTTAAAAACAAAAAATGCTATTGACTTGGATGGATAATTAAAGATCTCCGTCAAGTCTATCCACTAGGGTAGGGGTGGCGGTATAATGGCTGCTAGCCCCTTCATCCCACTGTAGATATGTGTACAATTAGGGCAAGAGAAACTACTTGTGACTTCCCTGGGAAAGGCTGGCTATCAGAAAGCTGATGTGGTGGTTTGGATGAGAACGGCCCCCTCAGGCTCAAGCGGTTGAATGCCTGCTCTCTAGTTGATGGAACTGTTTGGGAAGGACTAGGAGGCATGGCCTTGTTGGATCAGGTGGGCCTCTTTGGAGGAGTGTCACTGGGGGTGGGCTTTGAGATTTCAAAAGTCCAAGAAGCCAAGGCGATTTCAACTCTTATGTGCTGCCCCTGCCCCCACCTCCTCTCTCTGCCTGAAGCTTACAGATCATGTGAGCTCTCAGCTACAGCTTCAGCACCTTGCCTGCCGGCATGTCACTGTGCTGCCCGCCACAATGATCATGGACTGACCCTCTGAAACTGTAAGCCAGCCCCCAGTTAAATGTTTCCTTTTATAAGTTGCCTTGGCCATGATATCTCTTCACAGCTACAGAACAGGGACTAAGACAGCTAATTTATTGGGGTTTTGGTTTGGGGGTTTTGCCAAGAAGTTTTCACTGTGTAACACTGCCTGTCCTGGGATTTGCTATATAGACCAGGCTGGCCTTAAACTCTCAGAGATCCACCTGCCTCTGCCTCTTGAGTGCTGGGATTAAAGGGATGCACTGCCACACCTAGCTAGAAAGCTCACGGTTGTAAAGTAAATTATGGTTACTTGTGGGAGAAAGCTATTTGCTTTCTACTCAGCAATGGTCTAGCCACATATTTCAAAAGGTCAAACCAGGCCTCAGTTTCCCCATGTATCCACTGAAAGGGAGTCAGCCCTGAAGGGTGTAGAGAGAGCACTTGCTCTTAAGAGAGACATCAATTCAAGGCACCTTTCTTGGAGTCACCCCTCAAATACAGGACATGCAGAGCAGCCAGATTTTAAAGTATTTTATGCTGGGCAGAATGGGTCACTCCTGCAATCCCAGAACTCAGAGGCTGAGGCAGGAAGACCAAGAGTTGGAGGATAGCCTGGGCTACAGGAGTGACCCTGTTTCAAAGGAGCCTAAATAAGGGAACAGTATTTTAACAACAACAACGTTACCAGTTAGGGATCTCTGTTTTCACCAGCAGATACAACAGGACAGAGAGAAGATCATCAGCACACATGGTCTCCAAATTCACTGCAAGGGGAAAGAGGGTCACAGATACCGTGAGACACAGATGGAAGGACAGACGCACAGTCTCCTCCACCAAACAAGCCACAAAACCCCACCCCAGGAAAATCACATGCCAGGCAGAAAACATGGCTGCTTCCTTGACAGTGTCCTGAACAGATCAGAAGAAGGGGATAAAAGAGCGTACAGTTGGCATATGCCTGTCACTCCAGTTTTGGGGAGTCGAAGGCAAGAACACCTGAGTTCAAGGTCAGTCTGGGCTAAACACTGAGTTCCAGGCTGGCCAGGACTACAGAGTGAGAGCCTGTCTTAAAAAATAAAAAGAAAGCTGGGGCGGCGGTGGTGCACACCTCTAATCCCAACTCTCAGGAGGCAGAAACAGGCAGATCTCTAAACTCAAGGCCAGCCTGGTCTACATAGAGTGTTCTAGGACAGCCAGGGCTACACAGAGAAACCCTGTCTCGAAATAAAATAAAATAAAAATAAACCTTAATTAATTAATTAAAAAGAAAAGGCTGGGTGAGATAGCACACACAACCCCAGCCATGGGTGAGCTGGAGCTAGCCTGGGTTAATGTGACCCCGTCTCAAAACAATCAACAACAAAACCTAACTGAGTAAAGAAATGTAAGTCAAATGGCGCAAAAAGAAGAGACCACGAATACCCGGGCCACCTCTGCCGCTCGCTGTCCTTTCTGAGACTCTACTGTTGGAGACGGTCTGTGAACCTACCACCGTAGACGTGGGCGCACCCACTCCACCCTCTTCTCTGCCGCTGCTGGAAGCGCACTGTATACTTGCTTGATTATCCCACAGGATTCTTTGGGAGTTGTTCTTCAACTATACACTACATTTTTCTTTGCTTCCTTTGTCTTAACTTTTCTCTGTAGTCATGTTGTTTTAGAACCTGGGTAGAGGGGCTCAGCCAGCAAGTGCTTAACTACTGAGTGACAACCTCCAGCCCCTAACTTTATTTTTTACCCTTGAATTTTTTATTTTTATTTTTAATACAAAATGAGGTATTTGATACAAAACATAACAAAAACCCAGACAGCTGAACCTCCAAACACCTGGCAAGGCTGGCCCAATTGAAGCAGCTGCTTCTCTCTCTCTGGTAATTTGCTATGCTAATCCTGCCTAACCTGCTTCCCAGGGCACTCCCCCATGCAACTCTGGTCCCTTTGCAATGCTCCTCCTCCTCTAAGGACCTTCATATCTGTGTATCCGCTGCCTTGCCCTGCCCGGCCCCTTCCCAGCACCTACCTCTCTGGCTGGGAGACTGTGTCATGAGCTGGACCACCTTCCGCAGGCACAGCAGCTTCTGCTGTGGGGATGTACACTTGTTCAGCTGCCCCAGCTCTCTCTTGGCACGAGGGATGTTGAAGCTGTGATTTGGGAAATGGGAACTGCAGGTTATAGTGGAGGGCCCTGCTGCTCTTGTCCTGGTCGTATGCCTGCTTAGACTTTTCTTACAGAGGAATGACCAACAAGAACAGACCGAGAAGAGCTTTGACCCAGGTTGGTGGCATTCACTTGGGCTTGAAGATGACAGACTTTGCCAGAAATTTGGAAAAGGGAAAAAATCCAAAAAAGCCTGTCCTAGAAGTGCAGGCCTGTGATCCTGGCCCTCGGGAGACTGAAGCAGGAGGATTACAAAGCCAGCCTGGATTGCACAAGGAGCTGCTGTCTCAAGAAGTATAGGTTGGGCTGGAGAGATGGCTCAGTTATTAAAGATAGGCTCACAACAAAAAAGAGAGAGAGAGGGAGAGGGAAAGAGAAAGAGATAGCACAGCCTGGAGAGATGGCTCAGTGGTTAAAAGCATTTAATTCTTGCAGTTGAGTTTGCTTTCCAGCACCCACAATGGGCTCACAGCCACCCGGGATTCCATCTCCAGGCAGATCCAACTCCTCTGGCCTCTGAGGGCACCTGCACTCATATGCACATACCTACAGAGAGACATATATACACATAATTCAAATAATAATTTTTTAAAATAGCAATGCCTTTAATCCCACCACTAGGGAGGCAGAAGCCGGCAAATCTCAGTGAGTTCAATGTCAGCCTGGTCTACAAAGTGAGTTCCAGGACAGCCAGGGCTACACAGAGAAGCCCTGTCTCAAAAAAAACAAAAATTTAAAATAGTATGGGGCTGGAGAGATGGTTCAGAGCTTAAGAGCACTGACTGCTCTTGCAGAGGACCCAGATTTGACTCCCAGCACCCACATGGCAGTTCACTGCTAGCTGTAACTCTAATCTCAGGAACTCCAATGCCCTCTCCTGGCCTCCAAGGGTACTGCACACATGTGTGCACATACATGCAGGCCAAACACTCATACACACTAAAATAAAATATAATTAAAGTGAAGGAAAAGAGTTTTAAAAGGCAACAAAAAGCCGGGCGATGGTGGCGCACGCCTTTAATCCCAGCACTCAGGAGGCAGAGGCAGGCGGATCTCTGTGAGTTCGAGACCACCCTGGTCTACAGCACTAGTGCCAGGACAGGCTCCAAAGCCACAAAGAAACCCTGTCTCGAAAAACCAAAAATAAATAAATAAATAAATAAATAAATAAATAAATAAATAAAATAAAAGGCAACAAAAATAATAACTTTTAAAAACTTAATAAAAGGTAAATAAATGGAAATAATGCAAGGGTGAGAAGAGGCTTGCACATTAATACTTAAGACATTTTTACCCTAATGGAATTTCACTGGATAGTGAGCGCCCCCATGGCTGGGTTCTCTCAGACTGGCAGGTGAGGGCAGACGGCCTTCATAGGCGCGGGGTGTGTGTGTGTGTGTGTGTGTGTGTGTGTGTGTGTGTGTGTACGCGCGCGCATGCGAATGGGATGGGAGGGCCGAGTGAGTCACATGGCCCCTCCCTCAGCTCCCACCCAGCTGGCACACTGGCCCACAAACACAGGAGAGGATGGCCACAAGACCGGTCCAGGTCAATGTCAGCCACCTTCATCAGTCGGGAGCAATTGCATAGCTCCGTAGTGGTAACAGCAAGTCAGTGGCCATGACTGCGGAGAAGCCCTGCCGAAGCCACTGAGGGGGGAAAATGCCCCCAGCCGCCAAGCACGCTGAACTTGTGAAGCCATGAGAGTTCTTACCTGAACTCAGGTTTCACCCCGATGTCTTTCTGCTGAAGATCTTGAAGGCTTCTCGTGATTTTGTTAAAGGCAGCATCCTAGCAACAGATTTGAACAAAGCTGCAAATTAAGACTTTTGTAGCTGGGCAGTGGTGGCGTGTACCTTTAATCCCAGCACTTGGGAGGCAGAAGCAGGCAGATCTCTGTGAGTTCGAGGCCAGCCTAGTTTATAGGACAGCTTGGATTACACGTCAAGTTTCAGGACAGCTAGGGCTGTTACACAGAAAAACCCTGTCTCAAAACAAACAAACAAAAAATATTGAGACAATGTCTCTCTACATAGTCCTGGCTGTCCCAGAACTCAACAGGTAGATCAGGTTGGCCTCAAACTCACAGAAATCTACCTGCTTCTGCCTCCTGAGTGCTAGGATTAGAAGCATTCCGATTTATTTTTCATTGTATGTGTGTGTCCTGTGTCTGAGCACGTGACCACGGGTATCCATCCACACTGGCCAGAAGAATGTGCTAGATCTCCTACACCTGGAGTTACAGGAGGTTATGAGCCACCCCTCATGGGAGCTAGGCACTAAACTCACATCCTCTGCCAAAAGCAGTCTGTGCTCTTAACTGCTGAGCCATCTCTCTAGCCCCCACAGGTGCTCCAGATTTCTCAGATAAGGCGCTCGTCCTGGAGAACAAACATGGCAAACTTACCTCGCTCGCCTCCATGGTCCCCACGTATTTAAAGATCAGGTCATAAAGATCGTGATGGACGTAGATCTGTGGGGTCGACAGAGCCAGGCTTGGGGTGTGTATCAGGTGCCAGCGAGCCTCCCAGCCACTGCCCTCCACTCTCTCCTTACCTCTACTGCCTGCTTCATCAGGTTCATCTGGGCCTCCTGCTTCGCAAGAACCTTCTGGAATTCAAGAGAAATGCTGGGTGAGCGTTTGGGTGCGCACGCGTGCAGACTGCTGTTGTTTGGTGTGGTTATCTGCTTACCAGGTGAGAGTCTCTGAGAAGCTGCTGGAGGCATTTGGTGTAGAGAGCATTGACGGAGTCCTGCAACACACAGAACAGGGAGAGAAGACCACTCTTACACCAACGCCTGAGTGGGTAGAGCATCCGAGGACAAGTCTGAGGGCACAGGTGAGCTTTGCCAGACCATCTTTTTAAATATCACGTCTATAGATCTGGGATGTGTCTGTAGTGGGGAGGCATAGACGATATGGCGTGTTGGGGGTGGTTCGGAGGACAGCTTTTAGGAATCACTCTCTCCCCCCACGTGGGGCCAGGGACTCCAACACACACTGTCAGGCTTGGCGGCAAGCGCCCTTAGCCGCTGAACCATATCGTCAGCCCTCAACTTGTTAGCATATTTGCAAATTTACATATGTATGTGTGTGTGGCACAGCACCTGTGAGTGCAGAGGTCAGAGGACAACCTCAGGTGTCAGTCCTCACCTTCCGCCTTCCTAACAGCAGGGAATCTCTTGCTGTTTGCTATTGTGCCCTGTACTTCATGCTAACTGGCTTACACGCTTTTAGAGGATCCTCCAGCCTCGACTCCCAGCTCCTCTCTTAAGCATACTGAGATTACAGACACATGCCACGGGTGTCCACCTTTGATATAGGTTCTGGGGACCTGAACCCAGGCTGTCTGTCTTGCCTTTTCTACCCACTGAAGACTCCTCCTGGATCTCAAATTCATTTATTTATTTATTTATTTATTTATTTATTTATTTATTTATTTATTTATTTATTTATTATGTATGTATGCAGTGTTCTGTCTGTGTGTGTCTATAGGCCAGAAATGGGCACCAGACCCTATTACAGATGGTTGTGAGCCACCATGTGGTTGCCGGGAATTGAACTCAGGACCTTTGGAAGAGCAGGCAATGCTCTTAACCACTGAGCCATCTCTCCAGCCCCTCAACTTCTTTTTTTAAGGAGTGTATGAGGAAAAAAGTTTCCCTTGGTGCTAACATAGCCAGGAACAGTGTGTGTGTGTGGGGGGGGGGGTTGTTGTTTTACGACACTCATCGAGATTGTTCACTTCCTAAAGGGTCTTGGGCTCCTCCCAGCCATGGACTGGTCCCCAGAGGGATTCCAGAGCTGAGAGGAGAACCAAAGCTCTGGAGCGAGAGCCGCCAGCCAGGCAGAACAAGACACAGCTACTAACGATGTGGTGGCGGAGGCTCTTCCTTTCACAGTCTCGGAAGGCCCGGTGGAAAGACGCGATGTTCCTGTCAAATCTCTCCGAGTGTCTTCCCAGAAATTCCCTCACATCTTCAATGGTCTTCAGGGAAAAAGGATCCGAAGGTGCGGAGGGTTCCTCTGCAAAAGAGATGGAGGGGCAGGCTGGCTACAGTTTTCACTGGTTCCTGACTGATGGGAGGGCTGTGTGGGGATGTGGGGAGGAGAGGGAGGGTGTCACATCCTTTCCCTTGCTCCAGGTGGGTCTAGAGCCCCAGGTTCCATGAAAGGATGGCCAGGGACCGGGGAAGAAGGTGAAGGAGATCCTGGAGCCCAGAAAGTCATACAAGGTCTTTTCAGGGAACAAAATCAGATTAATCTGTAACCCTAGGTACAACCCATGGGGCTGAGGAGAAGCCAATTCCTGGCAATTAGAGCTTCTCGGTGCATTTGGCAAAGGGATTCTGCTGTTTCCCGGGGCAACGAAACAACCTGTTGAAACCCAATGAGCTCTCAGTGAGACAATGGTACAGGCAGCTTAACAATACCTCAGGCTGAGGCCCAGACACAAAGCCAGGGCTCTGGCTCTGCACCGCTCCAGGGACAACCTTGTCACAGGCTGAACACAGAAGCGGTGAGGCCTCCTTGAACGGTACCACCTGAAATCCTCTCATATCCGGCACGGCAGCCTCAGTCAAGGGAAGCCTTAAACCAAGCCCCAGATGGGATTTTTATAAAGTTATGCGCATCTCTAGTGGGTTCCTTGATATTGTGTGTGTGTGTGTGTGTGTGTGTGTGTGTGTGTGAGACATTCAAGCTTTTAACAGCTATGTGAAGGGAAAGGAGGTGTCTTCGCAGACTTTTCCTTATCAGGAGAAAGGGGAGACTCTTCCTTGGTACCTGAAGTCTCTCTCTTCTCCAAGGGATGAGCGATGCAGAGAAGGCTGAAGCTCTCTTCCTTTTCGTTGTAAAAAGTCTCTTCAAAGAGGATGGGCACAGAGAGAAGACAAGCAAAACCAGCTCCTAACTTAATCCTGTTTCCTTCAATGAGGACACCCTGGAATCAAGAAAATGTCACAGGACCAGCCTGGGGGTGGTAGCCATGGACACCCCGTGCAGTTTCCTCCCAAAAGGTACCCAGGTAGAGCCTGTGACTCCACCTCGGTGTGGGTCAGCTGGACACGTGACCAGGAAGCAAGAAATAGGTGTGGTTAGTAATTTGTGGTACTTTGCATCAGACGTCATGAGCCACAGGGATGCCAGCCATCTGAGCAGACTTACAGATAACCCTCCCCCTTCCAGATCTGCCATAGTACCCACAAGCCCTGGATGCTCAGGCCCTGGCGTCAAAGTGTAGATAAAACCCAGTGAGAAGAGTAATTACGGTGGCCTGGACCGGCAGCGGACCATGCACCAGCTGGGGGAAAGCGACCGGCTGAGAGCAAATGAAATGTCCAGCTCGTAGAGTTTACCTGATTCTATTACAAAACAAACAAAAAACCATAGACACAGCTGGAGAGAGTGGCTCGTGCCTGTAATCTCAACACTTAGGAGGCTGAGGCAGAAGGATCAGGAGTTCCAAACCAGCCTAGTAAATACACCAAAACCCTCAAAAAAATAAGTATGGGCGAGGCGTAGTGGTGCATACCCTTAATCCCAGCACTTGGGAGGCAGAGGCAGGTTTGTATCTGTGAGTTCAAGGGCCATCTTGAGCTACAGAGTGAGTTCCAAGCCAGCCAGGGCTACAAAGTGAGATCCTGTCTCGGGGGGGGGGGGGGGGGGGTGAAAAAGGAAAAAAAAAAGAAAACCAACCAGCCACAACAAAAGAAATGACCCTGCAGGACACAGACCCGAGAAGGGTGTGCCCAGGACCACTAACATACCAGTAGATGACTCCCCTTGACTGAGAGAGAGAGGGAAGAACTCCAGCCCCACATCACGTCCCATGGCACAGTCTAGGTCCTAGTCACTATTAACTATCACCACGGTCTCCTGTCAGGTAGCTTTTCAAGGCTGCTACGTACATATAAAAATCAACATTCCATGCCAACAACGTGAAAGGCCGAGACACGGGGTTATCTTGCCTCTGTCTGCCCCCGCCCCCATCAACCCTGAGCCATCCTAGAAGTGGGTACCTTTCCATCTAAGGTCTGAAAGTGTCCTTCGGTGGGCACCAAAACGTAGGACTCGAACTGACAAGATGACTGAACGCTGCTCGGCAGGCTTCCTCTGCAGGGCACCAAGACCTGGAAAACGAAGGAGGATCAGCCCTAGACAGAGTGTTGGCACGCTGGGGACCTGCCGAGGGATGCGGCAACAGTGGGAAAATGGCCCTGGTTAGGGCTGGAGGCACAGCTTGTTATGAGTGGCAGCAAAAGCTTTTGCTCTCTGAGTCATCTCAATAGCCCTAACCTGTTTAACTTCTCTTTCTTTTCTTCCTTATTTCTTTAAAATATTCTTTGGAGACGGGTTCTCTCTGTTATGTAGCCCTGGCTATCCTGGAACTCACTCTGTAGACCAGGCTGGCCTCGAGGCACAGAGATCCCCCTGCCTCTGCCTCCTGAGTGCCAGGACTAAAGGCTGCACCACCACTCCCAGCTCAATTTATTTCATTTCTGATATGTAAAAGTAGACTTAAGAAACAATGGAGTGAGCCCCACACGTCCTTCATCCAGCTTCAAAAACTAGGAATTTGCCGGGTGGTGGTGGCGCACGCCTTTAATCCCAGCACTCGGGAGGCAGAGGCGGGCGGATCTTTGTGAGTTTGAGGCCAGCATGGTCTACAAGAGCTAGTCCCAGGACATCCTCCAAAGCTACAGAGAAACCCTGTCTTGAAAAACAAAACAAAACAAAACAAAACCAGGAATTTGGTGGCCAGTCATTTGTCATCTCTAGCTATCCCTGAACTCTGGGTTATTTCAAGAAAACCTAGAAAGTTACATAAGGCCAAGAAGTGACTCACTCCTCTATATATTTTAGGAATGCATTTCTGAACAATAAAGCTTCTTTTAAGAAACAGAGCTAGTGGACTGGAGAAATGGTTCAGTGGTTGAGAGGACATATTAACACTCTTACAGAAGACCTGGGGTCAGTTCCCAGGACCCATGTCAGCCCTCTCATGACCACCTGCCACTCCAGCTCCTGGGGATCCAATGCCCTCTGCACAGGCATGCACGTATACACGTAACTTTTGGCAAATAAAATTAAAATAAGTATAACCACGATGCATTATTATGTACAAATGCCCACTTACTTACTATAAATTTTCCTAGTTTTTCCTGTTCTTTTAAAAAGCTTTTTTTTTTTTTTTTTTTTTGAGCCAGGGTTTCTCTCTGTAGCCCTGACTGTCCTGGAACTCACTCTGTAGATCAGGTTGGCCTTGAGCTGACAGAGATCTACCTGCCTCTGCCTTCCACGTGAAAAACCTTATTTGTAAATGGCGTGGGAAATCCTTCTGTCTATGTGTTGCTTTTATTGGCTAATGAATAAAGAAACGGGCTTGACCTGATAGGGTAGAATAGAGGTAGGCAGGGAAGACTAAACTGAATGCTGGGAGAAAGGAGGCAGAGTCAGAGAGAATCCATGGCACCACTGCCGGGAGACAGATGCACTGAAACTTTGCTGGTAGGCCATGACGTGTGATGATGCACAGATTAATGGAGATGGGTTAAATTAAGATGTAAGAGTTAGCAAATAAGAAGCTAGAGGTAATGGGCCAAGCAGTGATTTAAATAATATGGTTTCTGTGTGATTATTCTGGGGTTGAGCAGCCAGGAACCAACAAGCGGTCTTCCCTGCAACTTGTAAAGAGATTTTTTTAATTGTATGAGTACAAGTGTTTTGCCTGAATGTCTAGCTATACACTACATGCATGCTGTGCCCATAGAGGCCAGAAGAGGGCGCTGGATCCCCTGGAACTGGGGTTACAAACCATTATGACTAGAAACTGAACCCAGGCCCACGCAAGAACAGCAATTTCTCTTAAGCAATGGGTCATCTCTCTGGCCCACATGTTTAATTTACAGTATTCATGTCTTCACTGTTTATATTCAGGAAAAATAAAACTGCCTTTTTTGTGTTCAAATTCTATCCTGTAGCTTTTCTGAACTTCCTTGCAAGTTCCCAGCATTTTTGAATAAAAAGTAGCCTAGCGGCATATGCCTGTAAACCTGGCTCAATAAAGTCCAGGCAGGAGGCTCATCTGTGCAAAGTCACCCTCAGTAAAGTCAAGACCAGCCTACAATCTGAAATTTTCCGTATTTGCTTATTTAAAAGATAGCATGTGTTTGGGTGTCCTCAGAGGCCAGAGGAGGTTGTCCAATTCCTTGAAACTGTAGTTACAGGCACTCGTGAGGCAGCTGATATGGGTGCCAGGATCTGGACTCTGGACCTCAAGACTGGGCTGCAGGTGCACTTAACTGCTGAGCCATCTCTCCAGATCCCTCTGATCTAATTATAAAATAAAGGGAGGTGTTTGGATGCCAACTTTGAAATGGGAAACAACTCCCGGGCTCCACAGGGCTCCTCACAACTTCATAAAAAGAGCAACACAGACGAGACACTCGCAAGACGGCCTTGAACTCAGTGTGGGTTCTAGCAAGGGAATGCCTAGAAGCAGTCCTTGGGGCGTTTAATGCCAGGATTCAGAGGCTTTGTGACATCCCTGCGGCTGCACTGAGGACATCAGCAATCCTGCTGCAGGCCGCCTTCTGGCCTCCACCCGACCAGGAACCTCTGTGTGTTCTAGAAGCCCCACTTGAATTAAGATTGCATGCCGTCACGCCCTGCATGGGATTCCCATCACCAAGCAGGCCAGGGAGAGTGACACACAGGTATGGACAGCACAGGAGACCCTCCAGTTTCAGACACTACCCCAATTTCCCGACAGACGTGGAAAGGAGGCCAACCCCTCCCCATCCCAAGGAAGAGGGTCCCCTGCTGCACAATGCCCCCCCCACTAGGCTACAGATAGCCCCAACCCTTGTTTGTTTGTTTATTTGAGATAAGGTTTTGCTATATAGCCGAAGATAGCCTGGAACTCCAGATCCTCTCACCTCTACCTGCCTTCTGGTAATTTTTCTGACAGGCAACTGGACTCCTCCTCCAGGTCACACGGGACACCTGGACAACTTTCTCTAAGCAGCTGTCATGAGCCAGTCGTCCACGTCCTAGCAGGGGCGACGCCGCTGTGCAGTAAACCACCTTGCAGCTGCACACACCAGACTGCAGCAAGACCCTTCACCCAGCTGGGCAGCGTTTGCCGAGCCCAGCAGGGTCTCTGATCATTATCGCCTGACTTTCCCCAGATCCCGCGCTGTCTGAGCCTGGAGTTGGTTCCCTGCACTGCTTCGACAGGGGGTGGCACCTGAACCGAAGTCTGCGCCGATCCTGCTATGCTTAGAGTAATTATAAAATAGGAATCTGATAAAAAGTGGTGGGTTGTGGACTTAAGAAACTGTAGCTATGGGGGCCAGAGAGACGGCTCAGTGGTTAAGATCAGTGGCTGCTCTTCCAGAGGACCTGGGTTCAATTCCCAGAACCCACGTGGCAGCTCCGGTTTCAGGGGATCTGACATGTTCACGTAGACATACATGCAGGCAAAACGTGAATGCACATGAAATAAAAATAAATTTAAAAAAAGGGAATGTACAGTCCGTAGTGATCACTGCTATATAAGTAACCCTGAATAAATTAATTTTACCCATCCAGATGAATGTGAGTGGGGGGGGGAGAGGGAGTTGGTACTGTCTCACCTGGGGGTAGATCTTAATTCTCTCTCTCTCCTACAAAGTCAGAAAACAGCGACCAATAGACGAGAGTCCCAGGAGATGAACCTGCCCGAGCCACTCCCAGGAAGCCCCAGGGGCATTATTAGCCTGGATAATAGGCGCGGGAGTGGCTATTAGAGCAGTGTGGGTGTCACAGAGCCCCAGCATCTGAAAGATGAGGGAGTGTGGGAGAAGGAATTTCCACGGTGCAACCAGGTGGCAGGAAGAAGACTCCTCCCCTCCCGGAAAGGGACATCCTGGAAGGAGGCCAGCTTGAGCAGTGGCTGGGCTGTGTAGGGGAGCGGTCCGGCTGCCGCACCCCTGCTACCGCAGACCAGCACATCTTATCATGGTGGCTGTCGGGAGAAGGGTCAAAGGCGGCTGATGCTGAAACTACAGACATTACTTATTATTCTGTTGTTTTAATTTTGTGCATTTGGGTATTCTGCCTGCGTGTATGCCTGTGTGCTGCACACATACACTGCCCACAGAGGCCAGAATAGGGCACTGGATCTCCTAGAACTGGAATTACAGACAGCCGTGAGCCACCATGTAAGTGCTGGGAATGAAACCTGGGTCCTCTGTGAACCAGCCAGCGCTCTCAACCACTGAGCCCTGACACAATTTCTAGCGATGAGCTGATAGCTTAAGTCTCATGGTTATGGTTTGACTCTGAAATGTCTCCCACAGTTCATGTCTTAAATACTAGGAGTCTGTGGAGCCTTTAGGAGGTGGAGCCTGGTGACCGGAAGTCTGTCACCAAGGGTGGACCTTTGAAGATTCTGTTTCTACCTGGTTCTGGTCCAGCACCCTGCTTCCTGTTCCTCCATGATGTGGAGATGTGTCTGCCAAGCACCCCAGCCATGCCTTCCCCACCCAGCGTGACGGAACATAACCCTCTGAGGCTGTGACCCCAAATAAACCCTTCCTCCCTAGGTCGCTTCTGTTTGGTGTCTGCTCACAGACACAAGAAAGGTTAATGCTGCACCCGTAAAGGGTTCTGATCTCTGATGCTGGGCCGGTTAATTTTGGGCCTGTTGGCAAAGCTCCCAGGACAGAAATTAATCACGATACTGCCGATGCCAGGCTGCTCTCTCAGAAGTGACAGGAAGGATGGGGAACCTTCTAGGAGCAACCGTAATATTCTACTGTTTAAGAAGCATGTGGAACACACTGTACAGTGGAGAGCTGTGTCCCCTGTCCGTCCCAGGAACAACAGGGGCCGGAGCGAGCCATCCAGCTCCAGCCCCACCCTGGGTATGCTGGCAGAGTACTTCATTCCACGCCTGTCTTCTTTTTTTGTTTGTTTGTTTTTGTTTTTGTTTTTTGATACAGAGTTTCTCGGTAGCTTTGGAGCCTGTCCTGGAACTCCACTTGTAGACCAGGCTGGCCTTGAACTCACAGAGATCCGCCCTGCCTCTGGTTCCTGAGAGCTGGGATTAAAGGCGTGCGCTACCACCGCCCGGCTTCCAAGCTGCGTCACCTGAGGAGTCCAGGGAAGGCCAGAAACTTCTAGCTACCTGGTGTGGACCTCAAGCGGATCCCATAGTTCTCAGGAGGGGCTAGAGCCGTTTCAAAAGAGGGGCCTGACCATGGCGGTGCACATCTGGGATCTACCACATCTGGGATCTAAGTATTGAATTTCATTCCTCACGTGCTCTTAGCCACCGAACCTTCACTCTGGCCCCTTATTTGTTTATCTACTGGGTTTTTAGTTTTATTTTGTTTGGTTTGGTTTTGCGAGACAGGGTTTTCTCTGTAGCTTTGGTGCCTGTTCTGGAACTCACTCTAGACCAGGTTGGCCTCGAGCTCACAGAGATCCGCCTGTCTCTGCTTCCCCAGTGCTGGGATTAAGGGTGTGTGCCACCACTGCCTAGCAAATCCACTGGGGTTTTATGAGACAGAGTCTCACTACGTAGTTAGTGTATGCTGGCCTCAAACTCACCATGTAGCTTCAGCCAATCTGCGTGCTTACATTATGGACCTGTTCCATCATGCTCTACCGCTAATCATTTTTCTTATTTTTATTTTTTTTAAAAACAAACCATATTTTTTCATTATACATACCAACCCATTTCCACTCCCTCCCCCCTCCCTTTATCTCCCGATCCCACGCCCCATCCATTCCACAGAGAAGGGAAGGCCCAAGGCTCTCCCTACTACATCTAGGCTGGGCAAAGTATCCATCCAAAGAGAATCGGTTTTCCAAAAAGTCAGTACAAGCAGTAGGGATAAATCCTGGTGCCACTGCCAGTGGCCCCTCAGTCTGCCCCATCCAGGCAACTGTCAACCACATTCAGAGGGACTAGTTTAGACCTAGGTGGTTTCCTTTCCTGTCCAGCTAGAGTTGGTGAGCTCCCATTAGCTCAGATAGACCGTTTTAGTGGGTGTACCCACCATGGTCTGACCTCTTTGCTCATATTCTTATTCATCCCACTCTTCAACTGGACTTTGGGAGCTCAGCCCAGTGCTCTGCTGCGGGTCTCTGCTTCTTGATGAAGGTTCTATGGTGACATTTAAGATATTCATCGCTCTATGGGCTGGAGAGATGGCTCAGTGGTTAAGAGCACTGGCTGCTCTTCCAGAGGTCCTGAGTTCGATTCCCAGCAACCACATGGTGGCTGACAACCATCTGTAATGAGATCTGGCACCCTCCTCTGGCGTGCAGACATACATGGAGGCAGAATGTTGTATACTTAATAAATAAATAAATCTTTAAAAAAAAAAGATATTCATCGGTCTAACTACAGGGCAAGGCCAGTTCGGGCTCCTTCTCCTCTATTGCTTAGGGTCTAATGATTTTTAATAATGAATTCTATAGCATTCAAAATCCAAAATTTTAAAAAAACTTTCTGGTTAATGCACATGAAGGAAAATACTAATCAGAAAACCCAGAGTGAACTTCAATGACAGAGGCTCCTGCGGGCACAAATAAGGCTCACACTCGTTCTGTGCTTCCAGAAAAGCCGCCAGCAACCAGAGGCTGACCTGAGCTAAGCAAACTTCTCCTTCAGTTCAAGTCCTCCCACGCGTGACCAGAGCTGTCACCACAGAAAAGAAGTAGAGACATGGTGCAGGACGAGGTGAGAGGGAAACAGGGTCACAACGAGCCAGCAGGGACTTCCCAAGCAGAGTCAAAGACAGCACCAGTGTGCCCAACACACTCAACTTAAAACGACGCTTTGAAAAAGCAGCAGCTGGGCTGGGCGGTGGTGGCACATCTCTGTGAGTTCAAGGCCAGCCTGAGTTCCAGGATAGGCTCCAAAGCCACAGAGAAACCCTATCTCAAAAAATCAAACAAAAAGAAAGAAAGAAAGAAAGAAAGAAAGAAAGAAAGAAAGAAAGAAAGAAAGAAAGAAAGGAAGAGAAAAGAAAATGAAACTGTGAGTCTCGGAAGGTAGATAGCTCAGTCAGTGAGGTACAGGACTTGAACTTAACCCTAGGCCTCATATGGAAAACCAACAGGACAGGTCTGGTGGAGCATACACACACTCCCAGCACCGAGGAAGCAGAGAGCCCTGGGGCTACTAGGCCAGCTAGCCTAGCTGTATAGGTCTCTCAGAATCCTGAAGAGAACCTGTACCAAAAATAAAAAGGGTTTATAGTGTCTGAGGAATGGCACCTGCAGATGTCGTGTGACCTCCACATGCATATACATATATGTCCTCATACACAAATTCTCATACACACAAGATACTGGGATAAGGGCATAGTTCAGTGGTAAAGCCCCTGCCTAGAATCCCTCAGTGAGGAGCTGGGGGTGTGGCTCAGTGGTAGAGCCCCTGCCTAGAATCCCCCAGTGAGGAGCTGGGGTGTGGCTCGGTGGTAGAGCCCCTGTCTAGAATCCCCCAGTGAGGGGCTGGGGTGTGGCTCAGAGGTAGAACACTTGCTTAGCACATACAAAATCCTGATTTTCCTCCTTGGCACTGAAAAATAAAAAAGAAGAAACAAAAGAGAAGTCCACTGTCCTGGTTGTTTCATCCGACTTGACACAAGCTAAGAGTTATCTGAAGAGAGGGACCCTCAACTGAGAAGATGCCTCCATCATACTGGCCCGTGGGGCATTTTCTTGATTAATGATTGAGGTGAGAGGGCAGTGGGTGGTCCTGGACTGTAAGAAAGCAGCTAAGTTGCTGGGGGGGGTGGTGTCACACACCTTTAATCCCTTGGGAGGCAGAGGCAGGCCAATCTCTGTGAGTTTGATGGCAGCCTGGTCTACAGAGCAAGTTCCAGGACAGCCAAGACTACACAGAGAAACTCTACCTCAAAAAGTCAGGAAAGAGAGAAAGAAAAGGAAGGGAGGAAGGGAAGGACAGAGGGAGAGAGAGGAGGGGGGAGAGAGAGGAGGGGGGAGAGAGAGAAAGCAAACAGTTAAGTCTTGGAGAAGCCAGTAAGCAGCGCTCCTCCATGGTCTCTACTTCAATTCCCGCCTCCAGATTCCTGCCTTGAATTCCCACCCTGACTTCCCTTCATGACAGATAGTGACGCAAACCAAGACAAACACTAATGAGCAAATACGAAATGTCCCCTGAGGCAGGCTCCTGGGTTAGAGGCTCGGTGGCCCTTTTGAGGAGGTTCTAAGGGCTTAGGAGGTGGGGCTGACCAGGTCAGAGCAAGTCACAGACAGGCATGCCTCCGGGGGTTGAGAGCTGGTCCTGGCCCTCCCTGCGGTTTCCTTCTCCACCAGCGAGGAGAAGAACCTTCTGCATCACAAGCTCCCATCACCAGTGTGTGCCTCACCATGGGCCCAGAGCCAACAGCCCAGATACAGACAGCAACCTCTGAAATCGCCAGTCAAACAAACTCACCCCATCCTCCATTTTGTCACAGTATCCAGAAAATTAACTACCCCTCCACCCCACCCCCAAGCCAAGGAAGATCTGCAACATCAGGACACGGGCTGCCCCTCCAGGCAGCAGAGCCCCCGCCCCCCATGACTCCCATCCCTGTCGCCTGGCCACCCCTGTAGACTTTTGTGGTTGTGGCGTTGTCGCAGAAATGCTTTCCCTTTGGGAAACGTCTTTCTAAGCTACATCCTCGTTCTGTCTCCACTGCTGTGATCAAACATCATGGCCAAAACTGACAGAGGAGAAGAACGCGTTCACTGGACTTTCACTTCCAGTGACCGTCCAGCCCTGATGGGAGGACGAGCCAGGATGTCAAGCAGTCAGTCACCTGCACAGTCAAGGTGCAGAGATGCCAACACACCCTTGCTGCCCGCTTGCTGCTGCGCATGCTCGGCGGGGCTCATGAAACAGCGTGGCCGGCAGCAGGCTGTGTCTTTCCAACCGATTAACAACCAGACAGGGCCAAGGGCTAACCTGATCTAGATTCCCTCAATTGAAGACTTTCTTCTCAGGTGACCCGAGCTTGTTGCTAGATGGATGCTTCTTAATTAAAATGTTGGTGCCGGGAACTAAGCCTGGGGTCCTCTGCAGAAGCAGGAAGTGCCCTCAGCCGACGAGCATCAAGCACTCCAGGTTGACAGGTAAAGCTAATCATGCCACTGTGTGTGAGTTCACAGGTCCCTATTCTCCGCCTCCATAGGAGTGACCGCCCAGCTGAGCGGATGAGAACTGCCCAGCACGGGCCTGCTGACTAGTTTATGTCAACTTGACACAAGCTGAAGTTATCTGAAAGGGATGGAACCTCCATTGAGAAAATGATCCCATAACATCCTGCGGTAAGGATTTTTCTTAACTAGTGATTGATGGGGGCAGGCCTAACACGTTTTGGATGATGCCATCCCTGGGCTGGTGGTCCTGGGTTCTCTAAGAAAGCAGGCTGAACAAGCCATGGAGAGCAAGCCAGTCAGCAGCACCCCTCCATTGCCACTGCATCAGCTTCTACCTTGTTTGAATTCCTGTCCTGACTTCCTTCAATGATGAATAGCGATATAGAAGTATAAGCCAAATAAACCTTTACCTCCCCAACTTGCTGTTTGGCCATGGTGTTTCAACACCGCAACAGAAACCTTAACTAAGACACCAGGCTTCAGTTCCAGGCAGCAGCGGTTGGTGGCCCCTCACTGTTTGCCCTGTATACACCCAGCATGCTGTAATACCTGGGACACAGCACACACACACACACACACACACACACACACACACACACACACACACAGCTTTGCTAAACTCAGCAGCTTTGTAACCGACTTCCTCTAAATGTCTCATCTGTCTGCCACATTTCTGGCATTGCTCACATGCTTGAGAGCCACCCTCAGGACGGGGCGGAGGGGGGGGACGACTTACAATGCCGTGGATCTGGGCCACCTTGCTGCACAAGTCGGGGCGCCACTTCTGAAGGGCCAGGTAGAAAGGGTTCTTCAGGAGATCTTCGTCATATAGAGCCATATGGACTTCAGGAGGGTCCAAGTGAGCTTCCTGGGACAAGGGAGGAAAAAGCTGTGACTAGAGGCAGGGCTTACTAGGCACCAGTCAGCTTGGAACTCACTTTGTAGACCAGGCTGACCTCGAACTCACAGAGATCCACCTGCTCTCATCTCCCAAGTGTTGGGATAGTTGGTTGTTCTTTTTTGTTTGTTTGTTTGTTTGTTTTTTCGAGACAGGGTTTCTCTGTGGCTTTGGAGCCTGTCCTGGCACTAGCTCTTGTAGACCAGGCTGGTCTCGAACTCACAGAGATCCGCCTGCCTCTGCCTCCCGAGTGCTGGGATTAAAGGCGTGCGCCACCACCGCCCGGCTGTTTTTTTTTTTTTTTTTTTTTGCTTTTTGTGGGTTTTTTTTTTTTTTTTGGTCGTGTTTACCCGCCTACCCATGAGCGCACGCGTGCATACACGGTTAGTTCTAAGGCCTGAACACCAGGTCTTGTTCTTGCCAATGAGCTAATGCCTGAACACTTGGTTCTTGCTTTGTCTCTGAAGCTGCATCTCCCTACATACAGAGCCCAACCTGATCTCAAAAGCAGAATCCTCCTGCCTCAGTCTCCTAGCTCTGGGACCAGAGTAGATCTGCAATGCTCTATCACCAGCTTTCTCCACGCTTTTCCATCCTGAGCCGGCCCTGGGGCCTGACTTGATTAGCGACGATTTGTGAGCCTCAGCCTGCAGGGCTCTTACATACCACCCAAGCAAGAAGAGACCAAGGCAGGGGTTGTCCAAGAGATCTAGTGAACGCAGCAGGCGAACAGCAACAAGATGCAGTCACACCCTTAAGACAGGTGAGGTGGACAAAAACATCCTGAGACTCAGGTAAGGAAAGGAGGGCAGATGGAAGCTGTTACATTCTGACTTGCTTACACAACATAGGCCACCTGAGGCCAGGTCCCCTCCAGCTCCACAAATGCAGCCCCTGCGCCTCAGAAAATCCCGGAACTTTCTCACATCTCCATCTCCAGCCCGTCTGGATTTTATTTCTGTATGTGCTATAAATCGGCAGTTAATTTCACTTTTCCATATGGTGAGCCAATTGTCCCAGCATCGCTTTTGGCATAATCTCCGTCTTTCATACCAGTCGGGAAAGCTGTCTTTGCCACACTCCAAGTCCTTGTGAGTGCCTGTCCTATTTCCACTCCCTACTCATGTTTCAATGGTCTAGGCCAGTTCAAAAAGGGGCAGGTTAAAAAAAAAATAGAATTACAGACACAGGCCACACAGTGAGATTTTACTGTATTTTTGTTTTGAATTATTACATTTTCTTTTTTCGTTTTTCACATGGGTGTCACGCCTGAGGAGGTCAGAGGGCAACTCTGGGCAGGTCCTGGGGATGAAATTCAGGTCCTTGGCATGGTGGCAAGTTTGTTTACTGACTACACCACCTTGCCAGCTGGCTGTACTTGTTCTGATTTTATTGCACCCGCATGGCCTCAAACCTCTGGGCTTCCTTCATATGATCTTTGTAACTCAGCTCTCTAAGTACTCAGGACTACAGGCATGCACCCCCATGCTTGATACATGCATAATATAAATGTCTAGAAGCCGCACTAAAAAAAAAAAAAGCCAAAACTGCTTTTAACATTTTATATACTGTAACCTATCCAAAATACACTTTCAACATATAATTATTATTTTAAAATTTAAATTAATTTAGCCCGTGAGAGAGACGGCTCAGCGAAAAAAGGCGTTTGCTGCCAGCCCTCATGACCTAAATTCAATCCCTGGCACTCACGCGGAAATGACTCCTGCATGTGGTCTTTTTTAAATTATTATTTTTATTATTTACCTTATGTGCATGGGTGTTTTGCCTACATGTATGTCTGTGAACCATGTGCATGCGTGGTATACGTGGGGGCCAGAAGACGGCATCATATCTCCCTGGAACTGGAGTTAGCAGATGGTTGTGGGTGCGGGAATTGAACCTGGGTCCTCTGCAAGAGCAGCCAATGCTGGTAACCACTGAGGGACCTATCCAGCTCCTGTCCTCTAATTTCTACACACACACACACACACACACACACACACACACACACACACAAGCAATGTTTAAAATAACATGTTTAGCGATAGACAGAACAACACCTGAAAGCATTATTTCATAAGCCACAAAAGGACAAGACCAAACTCCATCTCCGCAGATGGAAAAGTCTACCTGACAGTAGGCACACGGGCCCCACTCAAAGTCTCCTTGCCCAGCGAGCGCTAACTTGACATCGGCCCCACTGGGGCTTGATCTGAGGAGATCCTTGAAAAGGAGACTTTTAAGGGGAGCCTAGAATAAAAAACTGGGTGCAAATAATCCTTCCTTGAGCCCCCCTGGGAGAGTTCGGTAACGGTTCAGGTGCTTGCTTCATTGAGTTCAATTATTGCCAGAGCCTGGCCTAACCCTTTTACAAGCCCCCAACAGAAGCAGCAGAGAATGTGGTTTTGAGGGGACAGAGTCATGGGGGAACAGCATTTCTTTCTGGTTTCTGATAGTTGGTTCCCCGGGGGCAGAGGGCGGGCAGCAGAAGATGCCTTGGATAAAAACCACTTGAGAAACAGGATGTGCGTTATGGCGAGACCAAGCTGGGGAAGGACACGGGCACACTGGCAGAGCACCAAAACTGTCATTCCCCGGCTAGGAGATAAGGCCAGAGGGGAACAGCACTAGCAAGGAATAGAGGGGATCCGGGATGAGGACACGCCTCAAACATACAGGAGCAAAGCTAAGGAATCAGGAGCTAGGGGGTCTTTGTGAGCACAGAAAACCATGATAAAAGACTTTTTTAAAATTAAGTAATATAAGTCCCTAAAAGTCCTAAGAATCCAAGCACCGCGGGAGTCTTGACCATCCCTGATAGCCTTCCAATGAGGAGATAATTTACAGAAGAGTCACTAATGCCAAAGACCGCTGAACGTGAGCTATCTGAGGCCAGCTACCCCATGAACAAGACAGCCAGCCGTACAGGGGCCCACATTAGTCTGAACGTTTCAGGGGAGAGTGTGCACACTTCGGTGTGGTTTTGTGGTCTTCAACTGTCCTGCCAACCCGGGTAAGTCTGGATGGTCAGGAGCCATGGAGTAACAGGATGCAGCCCTGCTCCCCAGAATCCAGCCCAGGGAGTCTGTGGCTCCCAGAGATACACTCCTGGCCAAGTATTACCACTGAGGCTATCTCTGTCCTTGGAGGACCCTAACCAGGCACACTTGCCAAGTGGTGAGCAATGCTCTCCAGTAATATATGATTCAAAGTGGAAGGAGGGACTGGCCAAAAAAGGAAAACCTTCTAGTCATCTATTTTTAATATCAACAGAAGCATGGGGAGGGGGGTGGAATCTGTGCTTTTTAGTCACCTGGGTTCTTCTGGACCTGTGAGATCTACAGGCCCCAGCTATATCTTCTTTATAATCCCTTGTTAAAGTACTCAGCACTCCATCTGGCTCAGAGGAAGCAAGAGGACAGCTGTCTTGCCCCAGTGGGTGAAGGGTTAATCCCAGGCAGCAGCCATGCAGGTAGAAAGGGAAGGAGCCCAAAATAAACAAAACGTTCAAAGCTGGTCAGACAACAGTGACAGTGGGATGACGGTGCTGGGGAGGAAAGGTCAGGGGGGAGGGCAGTTAAGTTTGGCGGGCTACAGTCACTACCCAGATTCCCACCCTTCCACCCCATCTACTTGCCAGGATTTCCAGCATGTGGGCAGGCACTCTGAAGGAGGTTCCTTAGCATCTCCCAAAGACACATTTCATCCAGATTCCTCTCTAAGCCTGTTGTCTATAATTATGTGGAGAGGAAGAAGTTACTGGACACCACCAGCCTAATGTCACCAGCTAACAATCAGGGAGCGTCCTAACAGCACAAAATCGTTGACCAGCACACAGACAAATCGATAAGAAAAAGCCTGCAGCAGCCTGGGGTGAGCGCAGCACAGTCGGGTTGGCACTCGGTGGAGGGAGGCCCAGGCCCATGAGCTGGACCCCGGGCCCTAAGTAGAATTGGGGCTGCTTCTCTCCTAGAAATGCTGCCTGCAGGGTGACTTCAGGTGAGAGGTCACCCAAAGTCTAACTTGGGAACACATAATCACCCAGCTTCAAGGCCATTCTCTACCTCTGCCTCCCAGATCTCCCACACACCTGAACCACACCCAAGTGACCGCGTGACCGCTTCAACCTCCAGGTCAAGGCAGTATTTTTCTATGCTGCTCCCCCCCCCCCCAGCCAGCTGAATGGTTTGTACTTTGTGTTTGGCTTTTGTCTACTTTTGCAGCCTCATCATTCCCCATCCCCCTACAGCTTCCCAAAGGGATGCGATCTCCCTCCTTCCACTCATTTAGTCCTGAAACCTATTCCTATATCAAGACCCATGCATGACCCCTGTGTGCCAGCATCCATCCTCCCCAGAGAATGGCCAAGTCCCACAGCACCCAAGTTCTGGATGCAGACGGTCAGTTGAGTTGGCTGAAGGATCGACCCCCTAAGTGACAGTAAGTACTAAACCCCCTTGGCTGCCACACCACCATGGCCTGCACTGGGGGACCCTCAAAATACTAATAAGCGTTGCTGCGCTCCACGGTCAGTGGGAAGTCTACCGCGTTAAATAAAAACAGAAGTCTCTCTCCACAGAACGAAGCACTTCCCAGCCACCGAGTCTGTCCAGTCTCATCAGCCCTCGTACCCCAAGTCCCTCACTCCTCAATGATAATGTGTCACTTGCTACCACCGCCCCCCCTCCGCCACCCACCGGGAGTGTCCAAGTCCCCTGCAGCTGGAGGCGAGGCTGGAGGGGCACCGACAGGCGCGCGCGCATCTGGACAGTCCGTTTTCAACCAAGAAACTGAACAGACTACCGAAGAGTTTTCCAAAAGTATTCTCTACCTACTGGGCGAGAGGTCGTCGCCACGTGTAAAGCAGGCAGGGACACCCTCTCCTCCTTTATCCCTCGCGGGGACTACAATCAGCCGGCCTAGACTGGGACCGGCATACACAGCTTCCTCTCCAAGTATTCAGGCTGGCCACCAGAAAACCCCCAGGTCACACGACCTGGGAGCGACGGTCCCATCCACTGCCCCAAGTCTCAGATCCCGGGACCCGGGCCTGCCATGGAGCCCCGAGAACAGAGGACGCATTCTCCGCGCCGCCTCGCCTTCTCTCTGGACTCGGTGGGCACCGTGGGCAAGGCGCGCCCCGCTGCGGACAGCAGAGGAACCAGAGGGGCTGGGAGGCTCAGCCAGCAACGAGTCCGGGCCCCGGGGGCCCATCAGCCCTGCCCGGGGCTCCGGCTCAGCGCAGAGAGCCCCTCCCCCTTCCGCTCCCGGTCCCCACCCGACCTCCGCGCCCCCCAGAGTAGAGAGGCGCTGGAGGACACCCTCCGAGGACACTTACTTAAGAGGCTACATAGTTTCACCTCTGAGCTACGACAGCACCTCCCAGGCTCTGGGCTGGGACCTCAGTGCCCACCACCCGGGTGCGGCAGCGCCACTCTTCAGCCCACCCCTTTACTCCGCCGTTGGGCGGAGCCTCACCTCAGTCTGTCCAATAAGAGCTCATTTTTACTGAGACTGACATGTAAACAGAGCAATCATTAAGTCCAGTTCAGTCGGGGGTGGGGCTCAGGCGACACCGCGCTTCCTACTCGGACTAGCCCCGCCCAGAGTCAGGGAGTGCGCGTGCCCAGAATGTGAGAGGGCGGGACCTAGGGAAGATCTGACACTAGGGGTGGGGTCCTAGCTGGGTCCCTGAACTCGGGCTGGACCGCGAAGGAGAAGAACCCCACCTAGGTAACCATCCTGCCCGGCCGACCGCCCCGTGTTGCCGGTGACGCAAAACGAAGGTGCTCAGTCCTCTGAGCCACACTATTCTGTTGCATACAGGGTCGGTCCTGTCTCTTTACTATCATGGGCTCCGCATAAGCTACTTTCTACCGAGCCTCAGTCTTCTTCGTCTGCAAAACAGGAAAAAGTTGAATTTGCCGGGCGCTAAGGTTCCTGTACTATAATGAACTACACGGGAGGGAGAGGAGGGAAAGCCACACTTGACCTCCCCTGGAAGGGCCCCGCCTACCTGTGGTGGGGGGGGGGGGAGAAGCTCCTGGCCCAGACCCGCGGCAGGAGGCGTGTCCTACGAAACTGGATCCTGCTGTCCTTGGCCGGAGCTAAGGCGCGCCGCTCAGCCTGGAGACGTGGGGTCGACCAAGGATGGGGTCTGCACCCTGGGCTTCTCAGGTAGCCCCCGTGAAGGAGAAAGTCGTGCAGAGACACTGCGAGTGACCCGGAGCGCATCTGGGAACAATGGAAGAGAGGATGGTAGGCAGCTAACCGGACTCCCTCTGCACGCAGGGACGTCGGAGGCGCACGTCGAGGATCCCCGGAGAGCTCCATTTAGAACGGCGGCAAGGCCATGAGCAGTATTCGGTCCGCCCAGCCCAAGGCTTTCATCAGGGCTGGAGGCGATCTGCGACGCTGAAGAGGGCCAGTGGGGCACCGCCGCCCGAGGGCAGCGCCATGGCCAGAGAGGAGTGCAAGGCGCTGCTGGACGCGCTTAATAAGACCACAGCGTGCTATCATCACTTGGTGCTGACAGTGGGGGGCTCCGCAGACACCCAGGACCTGCGCGAGGAGCTGCAGAAGACCCGCCAGAAGGCGCGCGAGCTGGCCGTGGCAACAGGCGCCCGGTTGACCGTCGCGCTGCGTGACCGGGGCTTGGCGACCGAGGAGCGCGCGGAGTTCGAGCGGCTCTGGGTGGCATTTTCGGGCTGCTTGGACCTGCTCGAGGCCGACATGCAGCGCTCACTGACGCTGGGAGCAGCCTTCCCGCTGCACGCGCCGCGCCGGCCACTCGTGCACACTGGGGTGACTGGCGGCTCTTCTGCCGTGGCCGCGCGCGCCCTGAGCGCACGCAGCCTGCGACACGAGGCCGAGGGAGACTTCGACGTCGCCGACCTGCCTGAGTTGGAGCGCGAAGTCCTCCAAGTGGGCAAGATGATCGACGACATGGAAATGAAAGTCAACGTACCCCGCTGGACTGTGCAGGCGCGGCAGGCAGCGGGCGCCGAACTCCTGTCCGGTGCCAGTGCTGGTGCGTCCTCGGCTGGTGGCATTTCGGTACAGGAACGCGCGGGACCCTGCGACCCCAGCAAGGCCCTGGCCGCCACTGTTTTCAGTGCCGTGCTGCTGGTGGCTGTGGCACTCGCCTTATGTGTGGCAAAGCTGAGCTGACTGACACCCAACGGCCGCCCGCTGCCCCTTCTCCTTCCAGAGTGTGGGCGTGAAGGCTGGCCTGTTAAAGAGAGGTAGTGAACCCCCGGTGTGTGCGCGTGTGAACACGATCCTTTCAAGGGCACCTTCTGCCTGGGCAAGACATGTTTTGTTTTTTAACTTACAGGCCCAAGAGGAGTTAACTGCACGGGGCTGTCAGGGCATTACCGTCCGCAGGAGGTTTATCTCCTATTAATAGAAATCGGTCCACAGTGACCCCGGATCCCTTTGAGCTTGATGGGTTAACACGTGTGTCCCAAGTTTGGTGCCCTCACCCTAGTAGTCGGCTCCCACAGTACATAAGACAGGGCAATTTGGGAAAGGTGTAGGGTTGCATCAAGGGTAGCAAAGTGGGTGTTTTGTCCCTAGACAAGAAGCAAACTGCAATAAGATAGATGTAAGTAGGTTTTATTACCTTAACCCTTTGGGAGAGCGTGCTGATAGCGGCCCGTGCAAAGTGTTTTCTCTAGGTACACTATTGCACTTCTTGGCAGAGATTGCCCGTTAGACACCAGGAACAGCAGCGAGGGCAGATTTGGTGTTGTGACTCCATTTAGGAAACCAAAGAAGGTTGTTTCAACAACTCGATGTGGCAATCGGGGTTGGATCCCCTGAACACTTGCCTCAAGGAAAGACTTCTCCCTACTCGTCCCTGGATGGGGGGCGGGGATGGACAGTTGGCCACCGCTTTGGGAGGGGCCACACCACTATGTAAACAGGCACAGTCTCCTTCCCAGAGGCTTATTTTATTCCGGAATTAGAGCACAGTATTCGACCCTCCTTTGAGGGAGGGCTGGGGGAATCCTCTTTGAAGCCCTTAATCCTGTCTATCCCCAGAATTTACCTGCTAGCCAATAGGAGAACGCGTTTTCTGGAGAGCTGTCCAACTGGCTGACCCCATGCTACAGGAAAGGGCAATTCTGGCCTCATTAGTACACAGAGGCTGAGCTGTCTGCTGAGTTCAAAATGTAACAGCTTTGGCTTGGAATTTACAGACCTTTAAACACACACACCCCTACATACACACATACACAGACACACACATACACACACACCTACATTGTCTGAAAGAATGACATTAGTACTTTAGTACCAAAGCCGAGCTGTGTTTGTTTGTTTTTAGTATAAAGGAAACTGGGCCACAAGCTCCTATAAGCCAAATGAGTCAAGCACAGAGATCTTTTACATGTACACAGTGTAGGCTACTAAATATGATCTGCGTCCATCTTTTAAAATCTATATTCTTGTGGCCAGAGAGATGGCTTAACCGAACAGAAGTATTATAGCCAGGCACAGTGGTGCATGCCTTTAATCCCAGCACCCTGGAGGCAGAGGCACTCAAGGCCAACTTGGTCTACAGAGTGAGTTCTAGAAGAGCCAGGGCCACATAGAGAGACCCGGTCAAAAAAAAAAAAAAAAAAAAAAAAAAAGGAAGAAAAAAAAGTGTATATATTGTTCTTGCAGAACATGGACGTTCTGTTCCCAGCACCCATCTCCAGCAGCTCATAACTGCCTGGAACTCCAGCTCCAGGAGAGGTCTGATGCCTTCTTCTGACTTTCTCAGGCACTTGCCCTCACACACACACACACACACACACACACACACACACACCCCTAAAACTAAATCTTTTAAAAAGAATCCAAATTCTTGAATAGAGACTGATTTTTGAGGTCATGGCTCAAACTACCAGAATCATCTACATAAAAGGCACAAGCAGCTTCTGCTTTCTGCTTATAAAGGAGACGCCCTCTTTTGGCCTCCAGAGGAACTGCATGCAGGTGGTGCACAGACATACATGCGTGCAACCCCCCCAATACAAAATGATGATGATGAAAATGGTGATAATTTTTTAAGTGAAGAAGAGGATCAGGTGGAGGGGAATAGCAGTCCTTTACATGGTCAGCTTGGAAGGCTGATGCATGCAAGCGTATAAGGGCTCACGGTTCTAGGTGCTGCGCCCTACCCCTACCCTCGGCCACGTGACCTCTCTTGACACAGGTTCTGAGGCCTCAAAGAGGAAGCTGTGGAATCTGTTTGCAGGAGTCTTTGATTGTGCTTTTAAAAGATTCACTGGTCTTAAAGCCTACTGAACTCTTTACAACAATTACTGGTAAGAGTTCCTACGCCCTCCTCTGGCTGGGCTAGGCAACTCTGACGAGGTACGACTTTCAACCTTTTTGTTGCTGCTTGCCCAGGATGCCTTTAGAGACAACGTAGAAAGTTTTAAACTCCGCCTCCTACACACGACACAACATGGAGTCTCTGTCACCTTCTCCAGAGATCACCTCTCTGGCAAGAGAAGTTTGGAGGCATTTGGGGACGTGGTGTTAGGGAATCTCGCTACAATACAGTTGGTGAAGGCATCCTGACATTGTCAAGGTTGTAACTTTATTCTTATTGGGAGTTTTGTTTTATTTATTTATTTTTTAAAAAAAATAGGGGCCAGAGAGATGGCTCGGCAGTTAAGAGCACTTGCTGCAGTTCAGCTCGCCGGCACCTGTTACTCCTGCTCCTGGGGATCTGGCGCCCTCTTCTGGCCTCAATGGGCACCTGCACATACATGGCAGGCGCATTTGTGCACACACACAAATATCAATGCATTTCTCAAAATTGTTCTGGAGAGAGTATTGAAGACATACACCATCTGGCACTGAATAGGCCAGTTTACGATAGTGGTTCTTAACCTTCTTAAGCTGAGACGCATTAACACAGTTTCTCCTGTTGTAGTGATTCCCCCACCATATGATTCTTTTGTTGCTTCTTCATAACTGTAATTTTGCTGCTGTTATGAATTGAAATGTAAATATCTGATATGCAGGATATCTGATTGTGACCCCTATGGGGTCGCGGCCCACAGGTTGAGAATCGCTGCTCTAAAAGCTGAGCAGACAAACAAATTTCCCATTGCCACTCTTTCCACCCACTCGGCCATTCTTTGGATAATTAGCTGGGTCGCTTGTGAGGGTTCTCAGATCACTGCAACCTGCGATAAAATGTTGCAGAAAGCAAAGGCTGAATTAAGGAAACATTCCTCTAGCAGACCTGTGAGCCCAGGGAACCCACTGAGCTTCAAAATGTTAAATATGAGCTGAATTCTTTGGTACTTGATGCTGTGTAAGGGAACCGCTACAGGACAGCGTCACTTCCTGCCTTGTACAACTGGCTCATTTCTAACTAATATGGCTACTCTTGTTTCTACCTGTAATTGATGAGCTTTGGCTGATGCATACTTTGCTGTTGAAGTCATCCATTTTCTATAGATATTTGGTCTGATCTGATACCTGGTAAAACTGATGGGGAAAAAATTCAAAATGCATCCGCTAAGCTGGGTTTCATGCAGACCTGCTACTTAAGAATGGAGCAGGAAGGGGCTGGAGAGGTGGCTCAGAGGTTAAGGGCATTGCCTGCTCTTCCAGAGGTCCTGAGTTCATTTCCCAGCAACCACATGGTGGCTCACAACCATCTGTAATGGGGTCTGGTGCCCTCTTCTGGCCTGCAGGCATACACACAGACAGAATATTGTATACATAATAAAGAAATAAATATTTTTTTTTAAAAAAGAATGGAGCAGGAAGACCACCTGTTCAAGACTAGCTTGGGCTGCAGTGTGAGTTCAAGGCTAACCTGAGCTCAAGGCTAGCCTGGGCAACTTAGACTCTATCTCTCAAAATAAAAATGTGAAAAGGGGGGGGCTGGGGAGATAGCTCAGAGGTTAAGAGCACTGGCTGCTCTTCCAGAGGTCCTGAGTTCAATTCCCAGCAACCACATGGTGGCTCATAACCATCTATAGTGAGATCTGGTGCCCTCTTCTGGTATGCAGGTAGATACTGTACACATAATAAATAAATAAACAAACAAACAAACAAACAAATAAATAATCTATCTTATATAAAAGGGGACTGGGGTTGTCGCCTAAGCCAGAGAACTTGCTTAGCATGTTTGAGGCTTAAGATTCAGTCCTGTGCCCCTCAAAAATGTATTAGCTGATATTAAAAGGCGAAAACTGGGGATGTCAAGGGACTGTCAACCTATCAAGGGAATGAATGCGTTCTGAACTAGCAGTAAGCTATTAATGATTACCTTAATCATATTGAAGGAAGAAAATACCCAGATAACTTTTTCTAAAATAGGATCTCACTATTGTAGTCCTGGATGTCCTGGATCTCACGTGTAGACCAGACTGACTTTGAACTCAGAGAGGTCCTCCTGCTTCTGCCTCCTGAGTGCACGGATTAAAGGCACATCACTACACCTTGCTTTAACTGTGTAGCCACGATGGCCTTGAGGTAGTGATCCTCCTGCCTTAGCCTCTTTAGAATCCGCTACCAGTGTGGGCCACCACAACCCGTGGGAGGATTTTATGGAATATAAAAGGTTATGCTTTGAAATGCCACGAGGAAAAATATTTAGGGTAAGCTTGAAACCCGCGCGTTGTGGTTTCCCTAGCGTGTGTAAAGGATGCGTGATGCTGAAGAACTGGGAAACAGTTTGGGCTGAAGAGATGTCTAATCTGCACGAGGTTCCTGGCAATGCTGCAGCCTCCCCACCCCCCACGTGCACACTGGTGCATTTTGAAGCTGCCCCTCCCTCTTTAGAGTGTTCAATGGTGGATGCTTTGTGAGGCTGTGAGCTCCTGGGTGTGAGGAGCGGGTGAGCAAAATGTTGTAGAGGAAGCTCACCTCTGTGTCCCTTGGGTGTGCCTCTCCCTGGGGAGGGGGGATCCACCGTCTGCCCTGGTCTGGGAACTCTTCCCCTGTCCAAATGTACCTCAAGTCATTTGATATCCCCATGCCTCGGATTCTCTACTGGTGGCATAAGGGTTTTGACCAGTTAGCTCGGCGAGCCCCCGTGGCGCTTCAGATGTTCGGGAGATCGCCTCACTAACGTGAATAAGGCTTATTTTGTTGGTTGGTTTGGTATGAGGCTTTTTGTTTTGCTGGTTGGTTTAGGTATATCCTCGTTGAATGTAACCTTGTGGCTTGGTGGTTATTGTCTAAAAATAACTAGAGAGACGGCTCAGGGGTTAAGGGCACGTACTCTTCTTCCAGAGCTCACAAGTTCGAGTCTCAGCACCCACACCAGGTGTCTCACAACGGCCTGTAACTCCAGTTCCAGGTGGATCAGACACCTCTGGCCTCTGTGGACACCTGCACCCAGTGTGCACACAGACACACATACATACACGGAATTAAAAATGACAAAATATTTTAAATGTTTAAAAAGACTAGAAGTCAGGCTAGTGAGGTGATTCAGGGTAAGGGCGCCCACTGCCAAGCCTGACAACCGGAGCGCTGTCCTGGAACCCACGTGCTGGAAGGGGAGAACGAGCAACCAAGAGCTGCTCTCTGACCTGCACACACATACTAAGGCGCGTGTGCGGGCCCGCTCTCCACGCACACAAAATAAATAAATAACAAGTATTTAGTTTTAGAATACCAAAATTAAGCTTCGCGTGATTTCAGTGCACACAGAATTAGAGCGTAGACTTTCAAAAGCAAGCGTGGGATTCAGGGTGTAGCGCAGCGATAGTGGGCTCAACTAGTACTCCTAGTCTCTGGATCCAACCCCCAGCTCTACAAAGGGAAACAGAGGCCGATGTGTTATGCTATCTGTGTGTAGTATTGGCATAGACAAGGAATTTATAGTATGTGTCCAGTATTTAACTAGATAAGGAATTTAAATTCAGACTCTTAAGTCTGAGTCCAAGTATTTATTTATTTTTAGGGGCTGGAGAGATGCTTTACAGATTAAGAGTGCTTACTGCTCCAGGGTTCGGTTCCTAGCACCAACAAGAGGCAGCTTGTACTCGCCTGTAACTCCAGCTCCAGGGTCTCTGTCCCTCTCCTCTGGCCTCCAAAGACACTGACATCCAACTCACACAGGCACACACACACACACACACACACACAATAAAAATAACGAAATCTAATTTTCAGTCTGTTTTGCACAGCAATCAGGCCGCCTCAAGGGATTCTGAGAAACAGTAAAGACAAGCCCTTGCTATTGTTGTATAGTTTGGAGACTATACTCCCTCCCTAACCTTAGAAAACCAGGCAGCAGGGCTTGTTTCTGTGTGATGGTAAATCTATGATGGAATCAAAGGTTTCACGTCTACGTGTTCTATCAACGGGTTCTAACCACGTTCGTGAATAAGCAACAATATTAAAGACAATAGGCAGCATTAATAACTCGCAGGAAAAGGCACCTTCAAATGACTCCACTATCAAGTTGCAACTTGCAAGAATATCCTTCATTTTCATCACTCACATTGGAGCGGAGGTGTGCAGCCCGACCAGCGGATCTACTCTCCACAGACTGAGGCGTAAAGAGATGTTCAGCGAGCGTCAAGACTGTAGCTGTTTGCTGAATGTTTTCCTCTGCGGTACAATCACACTCAGACTTTAACACTGAAAGTGAGGCTGTGGGCAACACAGATCAAAGCCAAACTTCAAATCCAGTTTCTTCTGGTTCTTGAGGACTGACCAAAGATCCCATGATGGCGGGACAATATTGTTTGGAAAAATATTCCTGCCATCTACTTGGTTTCCATCTCATTCCAAGGAGGGTTCCAGATTTTTTTCCCCCTGCAGGGTTGCAAGGTAGAGGACACCCTAGTTCTTTAGTGTCTGAGAAGTTTAAGACCATGAGTTTGTATGACCTGTGGAAATACAAGAAATGACAGCTCTTGTCAAATGATTTTTAAAGAGTCTTTCAAACATTCTGGTGCCAGAAAGCATAGTTGAGTGTTGCCTGCGTGGATATGTATGTATTAGGTGCGAGGAAAAGTCTAGAAAGAAATACAAAGAAGTGAAAATATTTGTAAAGGTGGTGAGATTTATGAATGATGTTTTTCAATATTTTTATTAAATGTTATATTGTTTTTACAATAAAACTTTAAATGCTATTATCATCTGGGAAAATGTTATTATGTTATTAAAATGTAATTTATATCAATCAGGGTGTCTAGCTGGATGGTGGTGGTGCAACGTTTTTTGAAACAAAGCCTCTGTCTTAGTCACGGTTCTGTGGCTATGAAGAGGCACCATGACTGCAGCACCCCTTCTAAAAGGAAGCATTTAACTAGGGGCTCGCCTACAGTTTCAGAGGGTCAGTCCTTGCTCATGGCAGGGAACAGACAGGCATGGTGCTGGAGTAGTAGCTGGGAGCTTTGCATCCTGATCCACAGGCAGCAGGCAGAGAGACACTGGGCCTGGTACGGACTTTTGAAACCTCAAGGCCCACCCCCAGTGACCTCCATCAAGGCCACACTTCCTAAACCTACCATAACAGTTTATCAACTGGGGATATATGCAAATACATGAGCCTATATGAGTCACTCTCGTTCAAACTGTGGCAGTCTCTCTACATAGCCTCAGCTGGCCTGGAACTCACTCTGCAGACCAGGCTGGCCTGGAGCTCAGAGGTCCTCCTGCCTCTGCCTGACCATTGAGTGCTGAATCTAAAGGCTCGATAACAAATTTTCAATCCAAGCACTCCAGAGGCAGGCAGATCTCTGTGGGTTTACATTGAGAGTTCCAGGTTAGCCAGGTCTGTACAAACAAACAACAACAAAAATAAATAAATAAAAGCAGCTACAATTAGGCTCTCAGGTATAACGAGAAATAACCATAATCTTTGCCCCAATAACAAACCAGTGTTTTCTTTTATATTTCTTTTCCTCCCATTGCTGGAGGTTGTAGCAGGACTTTGCACATAGCTAGGCAAGTTCCTTACCGCTGAGTTATAGCCTAAACAGAAAGACTTTGTTTTAGGGTCTCTGTGAGGAAGAGCCAAGACCAGTAGGTACAGACCTGTGATCATAGCAATTGGTGGGCGGGGCAGGAGGATTCGACGTGCAAGGTCATTCTTCACTATAATAATAGTGTCTTGGAGACTAGCCTGGGCTACATGAGACACTGTCTCAAAAATAAAAATGGAAGAGAAAAGCAGGGGGAGGGCAAATCAGGGCAGGTTTTTAAATGGGATGGCCAGATGGATCAGTGTAATGCCAAGAGCGATGACTGCCCTTGAAGAGGACCCAAGGACCTCTGCGGGCACACACACACACACACACACACACACACACACAAAGAGGAATCTTAAAAAGATGAATAAGTAAAGTATGCCATCACTGTTATCATCACTCGTATTGTATTAAAAGTCCTGAAAAAGAGCCAAGAGTCAATACACAAACTTTAACTTTTCCATAGCTAGGTAAAATCTAAAACCTTAAAGTGAAAGACAATTATACTTTTCAAAATAAAAAAAAATACCAATGGGTTTTTGATTCTACAGAACGTACCAGGTTTGTGGGAGCCTAGGCAGTTTGGATGCTCACCTTACTAGACCTGGATGGAGGTGGGTGGTCCTTGGACTTCCCACAGGGCAGGGAACCCTGATTGCTCTTCAGGCTGACGAGGGAGGGGGGCTTGATTGGGGAAGGGAGAGGGAAATGGGAGGCGGTGGCGGGGAGGAGGCAGAAATCTTTAATAAATAAATAAATAAACCAAAGAAAAAAATACATTAAACAAGAAAACCCTTCTATACTCCCTACTCACCCAACTTAGAATATTTATATGACCATACCTGAAGGTTTTGTTTTATTTTTGTTTTTTTGGTATTTTTTTTTCCTTTTTGGCTTTTGTTTTACCTGTGTATAAGACATTCTCTATGACCCTACAGAAGCCAGTGTCTGTGTCAATGTCCGTGACTTCAGTACCACTGAACTCTGAGTAGCCACCTGAGTTCATGTTGGCATGTAAGAGTCATTCTGCTTCAGGGCCATGCTGATCTGACTGGTCTATTGCTGCCACAGGGCCCATGGTGATATCCAGGCCTGGGCTGTGGTGTAGGGCCAAGTCTGGGTCTGTGGTTCTACCATAGCCAGGGGCTGTGCTGATGTCTGTGGTTTCTGTTACCACTTGAGGCTATGCAAATACTCTGGGTTTGGGTCACCTCCTTAAAATTCAGCTGTAGGAAAGCCTATAGGGCATTTTCTTAATTAGTGATTAATGGGGGTGAGCCCAGCCCATTGCGGGTGGTCCTATCCCTGGGCTGGGGGGTCCCGTGTTCTGTAAGACAGCACCTGAGCAAGTCAAAAAGCAGCACCCCTCCATGGTCTCTGCATCAGCCCCTGCCACAAGGATCCTGTCCCAGCTCTCTTCAGTGATGGACAGTGCCATGAAGTGTAAGTTGAATAAACCTTTTCCTCCCCAACTTGCTTTTTGGTCATGGCGTTCCATTACAGCAATGTGTGGTGGCTTGAATAAGGATGGCCCTCATCAGCTCATATATTTGAATGCTTAATCATCAAGGAATGGCACTATTTGAGAAGGATTGAAACTTGTTGGAGGAAGTGTGCCACTGGGGGTGGGCTTTAAGGTTTCAAAAGCCCATGCCAGGCCCAGACTTCTCTCTCTCTCTCTCTCTCTCTCTCTCTCTCTCTCTCTCTCTCTCTCTCTCTCTCTCTC